TTTTACTAGGACATCTATCCACCAAAAGCTGAATACGAATGACTTACTCCAAGTTCGTCATCCTCACTGGAATCTTTCTCCGGTAGAGGAAGAGAAATGGATTCCTTCTTTTCCTTACATTGTGTTGTTACTTGGAAGTTATGAAGGGATGTCCTTAGTCTGTTTAATTTTAATTGGTGACCGTTCCAACAGGTTCCTAAGTACATTTATTAAGGGGGAAGGTGTAAGCAAAGTAGTAAAACCACTTTTATAAGGTATTATTTTTGCTTGTTTGTGGAGTATATAGGAGTCCGCAACTCTAGAATCTTTAACAATAGAAAGAACTTGCTCATCATCACGATACAAGCACCTCGGATCTACATTGAAACTGTAAAATTTTATCATCAGCACCTCTGGTGTACCAGTTATCGTGCCCACTGTAAACGCTGGGTAGCCAAGTGCGGAGAGGATAACTGCTGAAAGCATCTAAGTAGTAAGCCCACCCCAAGATGAGTGCTCTCCTATTCCGACTTCCCCAGAGCCTCTGGTAGCACAGCCGAGTATATAGGAGTCCGCAACTCTAGAATCTTTAACAATAGAAAGAACTTGCTCATTATCACGATACAAGCACCTCGGATCTACATTGAAACTGTAAAATTTTATCATCAGCGCATAGTCCTTAAATACATACTTATTTCACTCTATCAATGAGGAGCATGTTGTGCCTATACTTCTTATTTTTTGTGGGTTTTATTTTGGAGGATGTCTTATTCTCCATTGTTGTATTTCTTTTCCTCCTATTTTAATAAAGTTTCTTTTCTATCGGGAAAAACAAATGAAGTATGATTGTGCAAATATTTTTAAAAAATTTTCTAGGAGTTGTCTAAACATAACCTAATTAGTTATAGAATGATGACCTCATCTAAATCTGAGAACATGGTTATTCTTTTAAGCATTATTCTTAGATGTTACCGGTTCTTTATTTTTGTGTTACCTCAGTCTCAATAAAAATATATATATATAACTGTTAAGCGTAATATTCACTCATTACCAAAAAATTTGAGTTTGAGTTTTTAAGGCTCAATAGTTGGATCCAAAAACTATTGTCAATGGTGATTGGATCCTGGGGAATTATGGTGTTCATGTTGACCCTATGTCCACCACCATGTTGCTTTTGCAGGTTCTATTTGGATTTTATCTAATCTTGTGTTTAATTCTATTTCTTTTTGGATTGAAAGAATGCAATCTATTTGGCAAGAGTAATTTTTAACACACTGCATCTCACATCGGTAGTACTATGGAAGAAGTCAGTATATACTTGTAGCCTTACCTCAATAGTACCTACAGCTAGCATTTTTGGGCAATGGAAAGAGCATGTGGTGGATTTATGATTTTATAATGGTATCCGAGCACGTTCCAACATAGTGACTCTGCATGATCCAATCTTGGACTTTGTAAGCCTGTAGATTGTAATTTGTAGTTGTAGTATATGATGGTATTTACAAGGACAAGGATTTTGATGATGGAGATTGTAATACCTCAATACCATGTTTGAAGTATATATAATTGTTGCATTCCATATAAGAACTAAAGTCACATGCTTTCAATGATGAGTTTGAACTTTTGAGGGTTGGTTATCTGGGTACAAATGGGTTTTAAGCCTGGAGTGTCATAAAAGGGATTTTGTAACTATAATTCAGTTTGAGGATTGAACTGTGATACTGTGATAAACATATGGATACAGTATTCTTGTAAATATAATTACTATTAGATGTTGAATGTCCATTTCTAAAGGAAGGAAATGCAAGTTTGTACCTTGGAGGTGCCATAATTTATCGCTGGCTTAACTGTTATACAAAATTAAGTACATGCTTCCTTTTCTTAAGGTCAAAGTTGGGTTGACTCTGTGCTTTGGCTTGTCAGGAACTGTGAGATCAAATCAATAGCTCCTTATGGTGTTTTTGTTGAGATATCTCCAGGGCGTGAGGTATATTTTTCTTTAAAAATTCTAAAAACTTTTCTTTTGTACCAGATTACTTTTAATGGCAATCTTAATTTGGTTCTTCATTCTGAAATCGTCTCTTCTAAACCAGTTTGCATCTCATGATTATAATGAATTTTTTTATATCTTTTTTTGATATGTAACGTTGAAAATTTTGGCAATCTTCCTCTCACTCCTGAGAAAAGACAAATAAA